AAATAATATAATCATACCTATAAAATGAATAGAATTTTTAATAAAAGGAAATTGACACTTATACCATCTTTTATGAAAGGATCTACCTTTATTTAATTTAATAAAATAAAATTTGAAATAGATTTATATTATTAAAATAATGATAATGATCAAGAATATAAATATTAATCTTTTGTTTATTATTTTTTTAAACATTATTACATAACTTACAAATGAATATAATAAAGATCTGCACTTTATTAATGCAAATAAAAGCTTAGATAATTTGTAAAGAATACACTGTAAAGGTAAAATTCTTATATTTAAAATTAGACCTAAAATATAATAATTTAAAAGATGAAGAGATTTAATAATTTCTTCAAGGCTTGCGACTTGAATTTCATACTACTCTTATTATCACTATTTTATATAATTTATAAGAAGCAATTAATAGAGCTTATTCTGTTAAGATAATGTTATCTTAAACAATATCCTATCAGATTACTCTTTAAATAAAGCTTATTTTAATCAAAATGAAGAATTCAAAGAAGAAGAATAATCTGCTAACATATAGTAACTCATTGATGAAAATAACAAAAAATTAATCAAGAAGTTTAAACAAATATTATCTAGTACTACTACATTCCTTAAATCTGCTAATAATCATATAAATAATAATTTAAAAAATTTGTTTTAATAATAACACTTCTAAAAATAGTGAATATAATTGTTATAATTGTAAAAAATTAGTTAAATATTGAGAAATAACCATAATAATAATGATAAATATAATAATTGTAAGTAGTTTAAATATTGTACTTTTATATCATATTCCAATAATACCTAATAATTAAAATTTATATGTATTATCAATAGGTACTATACTATCACAACTAATATATATTATATCTGCATCTAATTATCTATCACATTTATATTTAAACTATTAATGATATCATCAAAGGGTAAGTATACTAAAGGAAATTAAAATAACTTAAAAGCAATTGAAGTTATATATTATTACATATATATAGATAGAAAACTTATATATTTAATTTTGAATTTAAGATCATTAGAAAGTATAATATCTAAATAATTTTTGCAATAATTAAGATAAAAAATAGAGAAACCTTCTTAAATTACAATAATAAATATTTAAGATGAACATTCTTGTATTAGTATAGGTATATAATATATTAATTCAAATTAATAATATTAAAATCTTAATAAATATAAATATTACTGAATCAGTTGATTATTACATAGTGATTTGGTAATGACTGACTTACCAAATGTCAAATATAGATATTAAGACAAAAAAGCTTTTATTTTTAAATAAAATGAAATAATATATTAAGTTTTAATGATTTATTAGAAAAAACCTGTATTTAATCAATTTCAATAACTTAAATCCTTTAGATAATGAGTATGAGAAAAAATTTTGATCTTATAATAATATTATACAGTTTTAAAAAATAATATTAGATAGCTGATTCTTGCTAAAGCTAAGTCTAATCAAATCCTAATATTATTATTAGTTTATTTTAAAATAATGTAATCTAGTCAGTTAATATTTCTTTGGAGTTACATATTTATACACAATTTTTTGGTGAATAAATTGTATAGTAGTTTATATAATATAGTCAAGTATAGTAGTAATTTCCACCTATTTGATAAAATATTTTATAGTAATAATAATATATCTATTACCCTTCTTTATTTATGATAGTGATTTTACATAGTAAATTTTAATTCAGTCAAATGGTTATCTAATTAAAATTGAATGTAAGGACTCTTATCATTAAGGTGTTTCTTGTTATTATTATATATTACATAATTTATTTATTTCTTTACTGTATCATATATCTTTGTTAATAATACTTATATATTAATTTATTAAATATAATATCACATTTTAAGTATACTTCTAGAAGTAGTAATATAGTAGAATAGTGTCCTATAAGATTTTAATATCCTAAACTGTTCCAGTTGAAATGTTTTATGCTATCCTATCTAAGATAATTGTTATAGTAATTACTAATTATTCAAAATTATAATATATATATATATATTATAAAATGTCTTAGATATTATAAAATCTTTGTCTAAGGACTTAGACTATTCCAAATTGTTCTATTCAAGGATATATTCTATCTCAGTCATAATACTACCTAGAAGTTTATTTTGAATTTTATGTAAAAGAGATTTAATAATAAGAAAAGAGTTTGTAAGATTTCAAAGATTTTATTAGTAAAATAGTTGATTATAAATAATATAGTATTTATTTATTTTTGTATAAAAAATTATTATATAGATGTTGAAGAATTAGGATATTTTAATTGTGTTAAGTATTGGTAAAGATTTTAATATAATTTTAAGTTTATTTTTGAATATTTAAAGCTATTAGTTACACTATTAATGTTTACGCTTTTATTCTAAATTAGTTATATTTTAATATTTAACTAAATGGATGATAATCTTGAGAAAGTATCAACGTTTTAATGTATTTTGCCTTTACAATAATAAATATTATAAGAAAATTTCATAATTTATATAATCTATCTCATAAATTTGCGTGATATATCTAGTTATTAAATAATTATTATAATATAGTATAGTTAATAATTAAATTAAAAGATTGATATAGAAGATAAGTCTTAAAATATTTTATAATTCAAATAGTAGCGATATATTTAAATTCAGTAAACACATAATTTTTTAGTATTATTAAGAATTTGACTTACATATATGATTATGTGTTCCTTTTATTGGTCATTTATTTGAGCATTTAGTCCTATATATAACCTATCAGTAAATAATAAAAATTTCCTTAAATAATCAGAATAGGGCAGTAATAAAATATTTTTTTAAATATTTGAATTCTTGCTATTAGGTTTTAGTTTATTGATATAATGTTTCCTTTTTAAGTAAGAAATGTAAAAGTATAGCAATAGTTGAGAAATTTTATATAAATTGATAATAATATAAAGTGAGTCTTAAAATTCATAAAGTTTGATAATATTAGAAGATATTGAAAAATCTTTAATATTTTCAATTTTGAAGAGGTTGGAGTAATTTCTTATTTATTCATAATATGTCTTAAGAAAGTAAATTTAAACTTTTCAAATTTATATTTATTATATTCTAATTTTAGTCTAGCTTTTTTTTATTTATTATAAAATATTTTTGAAATAAATAAGGTGTTCTTCAAATATTATTGAAAAGATAATTATATTGTCTAAATAAACAATTATATATTTTCTAATTTCTTTCCTAAAGACTTTGTTTATAAGCCTTTAAAATATTACTGACATATTAATCAGATTAAAAAGTATAATGATAAATTTATATAGACTATAACTAATAATGAATATGATCTTTTACTGATCTTCAGGTATCATGAGTATTCACTAGCTAAATCAAGTATTATAAAATATTTAGCTTTACCAAATATATTTAAAAGTTCATTAATGTGTAGGAAATAATAATAGTCTTGTCAAATTATACTATTAAGTTTTCAGTAATTAACATACTATAACTATAAAAGAAGCTTATAAACTTTTTAAAAGTTCTATCAATTTGTTTTTTAATATCTTATCAATTTCTTCTTTAATAAAATCTTATTCAAAAGAAGTAACTTAATATGCTCTTTAATATATTAGCATATCTATTTTTAACAAAATATGATGTATTTTAATATTAGTATATTCTAGTTGAGATAGATTATCTGCAAATAAATTATCATTTGAGACACTTTGCAGTAGAAAAGGAAGAAACTACCAAAAAAAATTTTTTTTTACTTTCTAAGCTAAATATTATTTTTTTAGTAAAATAAATTCAGATTTAATATTTACTCAAAAAATATTTTTTTGGTAATTTCTTTCCTTTCTATTGCAAAATGTCTATTTGTTTAAGAAAAATAATTATTGCTATTATTTTTTCCTAAGGATGTAGTTGGTTTAAGATTTACTAGTTTTTCTTTAGAAATATTTAGAGTAGTTGTAGATGTTCCTATTCTTTTTAATATAAAACATAAATATCTATTAATTTGTCAAGTTAATTATATCATTAATATCAGCTTTCTGGTCTTTGCCAATAATATTTCCATTTTTTCTTGGTAAAGAATTAAATATCAAACTTTTATTTTAAACTTTTATAATATTATAAAGAATATTTTATCTTTTAATTATATAAAAAAGATTTAGCTACTTTTTATATAATAATTTACTGATCTTTATTATATGATAATTTCTGATTAGCTGATCTGATTTTAACAAAATTTAGCTTTTTGAAATCCTAAGAAGAATCAGAATTCAGTATCAGTTTTGTAGTAACTAGTATACTTAAAAAACTTTTTATATCTAAACTTTACTATATAATAAATTTTGATGTAAATCGCTAAATATAAAATTGGTATTATTAACTTGATACTAGATTTCGTCAAAATATCCTTTAAGATTTAGGCTTTTAAATAAATATAAGATCATATTTCTAGTATTTGTGGTTAATAAGTTATAGCTGTTCAAAGCAAAGTTCAAACTAGAATATAAAAATTCTAGATTTACCAGATTTTTATTTCAAAATCTGAAATTTTGTTATAGAACTAGATATTTATCTAAAACTGAAAAATTTAAATTTGTTCAGATTTTATTAGCTGAAATTTTTTTAGGTTAGAATAGGGTTCCTAAATACGAAAAATTTTTATATAAAGAACTCTGTCTGAAAAATAGGCAAAGTGTACAGCCAAATTTGATTAAAATGTACAACATCAGTAAAAATAAACTTAAAATGTATGACGAAAATTTTATATTTATTGAAAATTTTAGTTAAAATGTACTATAAAACTATAGAATTTAATTACTATATGTACGACATATTTATTCATCATTATCATCATTTTTTTTTGTATTTTTCATAATTTTTTTAGCATTTATAATGCCATTTTCAATATTAGTAATAATATTTTGCCAATGATAATATGATGTTAATTGCAGATTAGATAACTATAATACTTTATCTGTCTATTTTGATGTATCACGAAAATAACTTTTAATATCACCTAAAGCTGCAAAGAACTGAAATGGATATGTTTCGCATACATATTGTGTCCTATTATTTTCCATTATTGGTGTGAATTCACGATCAGAATTAGATGCTAAGTCAAAAAATCTGGCATGAATTCGACTAGAATCCACCCCATCTAGCATTTCAGCTCTAAAATAACTTATATCGCGTTTCTAAATTGATAATTAAATTTTAATTTAATTGTAATATTTAAATTTTAAATTTTTATAAATTTCAAACTTAC